TTACTTTTGTTCATGTTTTGCCACAGTTTTATCAAAATCAGATCCTGACTGTTCACATGTTGATGTCTTTTTTTGTTGTTTTGTTTTTAAACACATATTTGATAATTCCAAAGTATTAAACAACATACACACAAATGAATAGCACTTTTCAATCCAAATTAAGATGAGATAATCCAAATAATGAAGCCAACTACATCACACAGTCGTTTCGCTCTTCTAAGACTCCTCACTGATGCTAAAGAACCCACGACCCAGAGGTGGAGATCGAATGATAAAAATGGTCAGACGCATGAACCACTCGGCTGCCGCGACCCTTTGGCCTTCTAGGAATGGTGAAATCGGTGTAATTTTGGCATGAAAAGAAGCCCATATATCTGACTGGAGTACGTATTCTTTCTGTCTTTAGTAATATGCGGTTTTCTGTGGTTATTTATTGTCATATTTTTCGTGACCCCATCATGCGAGTATGTAGTATATGATCATTGTGTTATATCTCTGTGTTGACTGCCGGATATGCTGGGCGTTCCATTCTTATTTATCTAACTATTGCAAAAGAATAGCAAATACACCTCTATATACAAATAAACCGACGCTTTCAGGTCTACTTACTTTTTGGACAAGGATCCCAGGACCTGGACGCTACATATGGGGTGATGTTGTCTGCGTCTTTTACATTGCTCCAATGCTTATAACGGGTTTTCACTTGACTTTCATAAGAAGTTTTAGTTCCACGGAAAGGTATTAGAACTGAATAAAGGACAAAACATAAATAATACACATCGCCACAGTGAAACAGATATTCTCATGATGAAAAAATGTTAGCAGCTGGTAGTGGGTCCCTTATCTTGATGCTTCGGACTATTTGTAAAGACAAGTATTACCCTCGAACATTTTGGTACCAACAGAAAGATCGTGTCAAAAGGAACACGCATGTCAAATATAAAAGCTTTACTTCTTACGGTACAGTAGTTATTGGCAAGGTGTTGGCAACAGACAAACACACAGCACAAAAATATGCACAGATCTTTCAACCCGGGGGCACAATTACAACCCTCGAGATGTTTTGGTTTTAATGAAAATGTGGTCAAACTCACAGTCTGAACACAGTTGGTTTACTGACTAGTGTTTTTATACATTATTAATGATCTAAAGCAGCCTATCATTTCTATGATTATTTCATTGGTTTATTTAGTACGGTTTACAAGGTAAAATCATACCAGTGTTAGTTTGAGATGATTCAGACACAATAACGTAATGAGCTGAGACGATTCCGTTTTTGGTGTTACACACGAGTTTGGTATCAAAATCCACCCGGAATTGCTTTTCTGGGTCGCTGACATCTGAAGATGACCCCAGTTTTATCATTGTCGCGCTCTCATTTGCCAGCAATGGAGCTACATAAGAAATTGAAAATTATAAGACACACATGTACGTGTCAGACGAGGTTAGCATCCATTCATTCATGTCACCAAATTTGCTAATAATAGAAAAAGAAGAAAAAAGCACATGGCGGTAAATTTTAGTAAAGAAAATATTATGGACAAACAAATATACACACTCCCCTTATTCGCAATGTATTCAAATCAGGAAAAATATTGAAATTGATACTGAAACAGTTTTCATTGTGTTGGTGAAAGAAAGGGAACTTTGAACGACGTCACAAAGAATTTATTCAGTTTTCACATATGCTTATATCATGTAGGCCATTTCTAAAACACATGTATTTCAGCAGTGTCGTATGTCAAAGTAACAAGAGTCAATCCTTTAATTTCAAATTTAATCAGAACAGCTCGACATGTCTTACCTCCTGCGGGTATAGAAAGCGTTGTCGAAGCGTTTTTACCAGGTCCCTTTATCGTCCTTGCCACGACCTGGAAAATATCAAAATCCCTGACACTTATTATCGCTATCAATTATATGATTCATAATGTATGACATTCAACATGACTTTTCCCCAAATTAACAGTTGTTTTGGTGTAACATGAATAGCTGAACATCATCGGCTCTATCTAAAATGTTTCTTACATCATCATCACGAGCGGATTTTTTATTTGACCAACGGAAGATTTTACAGCCGGACGAACAGACAGACAGATGTGCTGATTCCAGCATTACCCTTATCACTGACATGCTTAAGATATATAGTAGAATGCACAGCATCAATTCTTCGGAACATAGCGACTGAATTTAACTGGCGACTACGTTTTGAACATCTTGAAAGCATTTGCGCACATTTCGACTTTTTCTAGATTTAATCAGTAGTATTCATGAATGGCAGAATTCACTAAATTTCCAGTGTTTATAAACAAACATTAATAAGTTTATATCACCAACCATAATACTTACTGTGAATGTATATGTCTTTTCTGGATCGACATCAAGGAACCAATGACACGATGAACTCGAATTCTAAATGGGAATAATTTCACTTTGTTATGTCAGTATACATCATTCCATTTCCTGATGTGTGTCATCCATAAATAATCCAAAATAATTAGATTTTGTCAGAAAAATCTGTATCCATCATTTCACATAAAACACTGTTTTCATCAGAAGAGTATAAATGTGAAATACCTCATTCGAAAAAAACCCTTTTCTTATAATAATAAAAAAGTTAATTAATATACGATCAGTATCAAACGGTGAAAACAGGTAGACTCACCTTAATCATCGTATAGTATCCCCAGGTAAGTATGTACCCGGTGATTATACCATTTAGTTCCATCTTTACTGGTGGTTGACAGGTTACGTTGACTGTACGTGGCTTGATTACGTTTTCCTGAGCACTGACAGACAGACCTGTCACTTTTCCGGGTACTGTCGGTAAAATATATAGCATTATTGAACAATTACTGTTGTAGAATATACAGAGATTCTATAAAATGAATACAATGTTATCAAGTAAAGCGTAGTCGATATTCCAAATTATATATGGACGATATCGTTTTATTGCTTGTCTGTTGTTATTACTAAAGCGTTTGGAGACCCGGCAATAGAACTCAGCCGCGATCAGTTTAGTCAGAATGTAAACAATACATTTCATCTTTGTCATTGTTGTCATTTCAAATTTGCTCCGGAATAATGTCCAGTCAAAGTATGGCTTCGAGAGGATATACCTGATTGGTCAGTTGTGATGGACACTGGAGTACTATTGGTTGATCCGTTCACTGTGGAGGATAGCACGAAAATGGTGTAGTTCCAGTATTCCTTAAGGTGTTTTATGGTACATTCAGTTTTGTCGAAACCTGTAAAAGACCGAATACTACATTATACTATAGATTGATTAAACAAGTATTTATTTTTCAGAGGTTGTCAGGTAAGTTTTTAGTAAAGTTTCAAATGTAAGAAGGTGAAATGACGTTTTTCGTATTTTCGTGGAAACACTGTGTAAACAACAGACAATAAATCAGTATTAATTACAAATGGCATCATCGTGAATACTTAGTGATCAGGTCATTCCAGCATAGAAACAGCGGCAAAGTATCATTATCAAACAAATTGTGCCGAAAATGATGTTATGGTGTCGTAAAATGATGAATGACGACATCATGACGTCACAATGGAACCAACATATATAAACCAATAAAACTGTAGGAAAGAAACACGTGTTTCCTGAAATATTCGCAAATACCTCAAACAAATTGTAATGAAAGGAATTTATACAACTCAAAACTCAGAGAAAAGGTATCATTTCAACTATAACATAGTTAAAAACTAATCGGTCAATGTAATGGAAATTTGATATCCTATACATGTGAGTAATACTAAAGAACTGAATTGTATTTTGTAATTTTCTCCGTTAATTGTTAGGATATATCACTTTTTGTCTCAACAGTTTTCACTATGAAGTAGAAGACCAATGTTCACACTGAGGTTTTTATTTTTCAAACATACCATGGGTTCCACAAGATGATATATTTCTGTTTGTTCGTACATCTATTGCCGTGGCCGTGTAACTGGTAGGTCCGGTTTTTAAATCTGGACTTGTCCACTTAACGCTAACACTGGTAGCCATCTTTGTAGGAACCGTGACATTACGTGGTGGATGTGGAACTGGAAGAAATATTAGACAGACTCTGTAATATCACAACTTACTAATATTTTGATAAATCAGTTGATGTTGATCTCATATAAACAATGACAGTTATGGTAAGGATATAAGTTAAGGAGGCTTGTAGTCACAATCTAACAGAGCCAACCACTGTTGTCTATATTGTTCCATTGTTACGGATCTGTCATAGACAAGTTGTTTTGATATTAATGTTTGATATTATTGATATTTGACCACGTCATTGATATTCAAAGTTATGTTGATTATAAGAGGCCCAATGGATCTGCATCGACCGGTAATCAATGTTCACCACAAATACATTAACACATATACTAATGGCATTCACAATGGGCACATCCAATATGTTTAAACATATTTCCAAAACTTTTTACACTCAACTGCAAGCAGTGATAGTTATGACCTAGATTATAGACAAATGTTACTTCTCATTCTCCGGATTTTATCGGATTTTGACTTGGGAACATCTTTCCACCAAATATCCCGCTTTTGGTTTACCAGAAGGAGTCTATTAATAGTTTTTACAAATGTGATCCCTGTGATCTTAAATATCCATCCCAGGCATTTCATTTTGCCAAGTTTGTAAGGATTCATTCGGAAGACCTACCATTAAAGTATCGTGTCACCAGGTCTTTTGTTGATAAAAAAAAAATATTTAAATATTTTGATCTCTGTGACCTTGAATAAGGATCAAGGTCATTTCTTTTCGAAACTTTTGTTGGGCGTCGTAGTTCTTTAATTATATTTGAGGGAAAAAATCGAAGATTTCAATAATTCCTAATTCCACTGACAAGGTCGAGATCACGATATTTAACGTAAATTTTAGTGGTATAAAGTGTCCTATGTCGGGGAGAAAAGAAACGTTAATATTTACAACACAACTTTATGCTAAATATATTTTCTAGAGACAGATTATTCACGAGGAACTTCACACAATACCAACCTGAACACCAATGCCGTCTGTGACGTCACTCGTTCACTCTTCCGTATATCAATGACGTGTCAGTAACGTACATACCTCACACGGTGCATGATTTGCCTGTTCCGACACCTGAGCTACCCCATGCCCTCCCCTTAACCAAGCTGGCCAACCATTCCATACCGGAAGGTTTGTGTACCAGAATAATTGACAAATACTTGTCTACCCTTCGACATAAAACGGAATATCTGCAAGTAGCCAACTTATCCTCTGCAAATACCAATTCTCGTCAAAGTATCGCTGATAAACGAGAATCTTCAATAGGTTTCGTTACAGGAAATATTTGGTTTATACAATCTGGAAACATTGGCGAGTTGTGCAATTTAATAAACATTTCATTAAGCCTTGTCGGGAATAGGTAAACGGCCAGTATTGAGTTTTGAATTGAGTGAAAATGACATACAAAGACAAACACATATTATTAGGAATGTTTAATGTATAGCATATGTAACAATGACTTTAGCAATTAGTGCATTAGATAAAACGTTAACATCTTTTAAACAGAGACAGAAAGTTTAAATGGATACTGTTTCAATATAATATACTATTTGATAACAGTATATACTTACTATCAGTTAATGTTGTGACGATTTGTTCATCGGTGTACTCCCCAGTACCAGCCACTGTCACAGCTGCTATCTGATATGTATAGTTCCTGTATGGCTTTAGGTCCTTCTTTAGGTATGCCACTGATTTGTTTCTTGTGTTGATATCCATGTTGTTCCAGCGTATGACGTATTCCTGGATAATGCCATTAGGGGGACAAGGCGCGGACCACTCCAGAGTTACACTGTAAGCTGTGACCTTGGTGTGATGGAGGTTATTTATAGGACTCGGCTCTAGAATAATATGAATATAATAGCAGCTGTCATTTAATTATTTTTATAATGATTCTATTTGAATACTTATTAAATATAAACACCATTCCAGATAGACAGTTAAGTGATTAACAGCGATACTGATATTGTGATCAGTATTCCCTGTAATGATACTTACTGTCCTCGGCTGTCTGGCTTACTATAGGGTCGCTCAAGTCACCGGGTCCTTTTATGGTGTATGCCCTCACACTTATATTATAGTTCCAGTAGGGATAGAGATTGTCTAGAGAGCAGACAGTCGGACGATCACTAGAGGGCGTACACTTGGTATGGTTTGTTATGGTATTCTGACCTGACCTCAAACCATTGTTACAGACTCGTTCTTGGTACACGTACTGTATACCGTATTGCGTTATTGGACCAGTGCTTGGTTGTGGTTCGTTAAACGAAATTGTTATTGTAGATGATGTTGTATTGTAAGTTTTTAAATCTGTAATCTTGTGTGGTACTGAAAAACAAAAGTAATATATGTACACACACAAATACACGTAGATATATATATCATAACGAAGTAGTAGACCAATCATCACCTGTACTTAGTTCACCATATTGACCAATCATCACCTGTACTTAGTTTACTGACCAATCATCATTGTATTCTGACCAATCCTGACCTCAAACCATTGTTACAGACTCGTTGGTACACGTACTGTATACCGTATTGCGTTATTGGACCAGTGCTTGGTTGTGGTTCGTTAAACGAAATTGTTATTGTAGATGATGTTGTATTGTAAGTTTTTAAATCTGTAATCTTGTGTGGTACTGAAAAACAAAAGTAATATATGTACACACACAAATACACGTAGATATATATATCATAACGAAGTAGTAATATTAGTCTGAAACAAAATATACTGACCAATCATCACCTGTACTTAGTTCACCATACTGACCAATCATCACCTGTACTTAGTTCACCATACTGACCAATCATCACCTGTACTTAGTTCACCATACTGACCAATCATCACCTGTACTTAGTTCACCATACTGACCAATCATCACCTGTACTTAGTTCACCATATTGACCAATCATCACCTGTACTTAGTTCACCATATTGACCAATCATCACCTGTACTTAGTTCACCATATTGACCAATCATCACCTGTACTTAGATCACCATATTGACCAATCATCACCTGTACTTAGTTCTTCATATTGACCAATCATCACCTGTACTTAGTTCACCATATTGACCAATCATCACCTGTACTTAGTTCACCATATTGACCAATCATCACCTGTACTAAGTTGCCAATGTTGCCATTTGTAACAAACCGTACTGATAGTGAGGATAACCACTGTTACTATCAGTACTGATACTAAGGGAGACTACTGTTATTATCAGTACTTATACTAAGGGAAGCCAATGTTACTATCAGTACTGATACTAAGGGAGACCAATGTTACTATCAGTATTGATACTAAGGGAGACTATTGTTACTATCAGTACTGATACTAGTTAGACCAATGTTACTATAAGGGGGACCAATGTTACTATCAGTACTGATACTAAAGGAGACTATTGTTACTATTAGTACTGATACTAAAGGAGACCAATGTTACTATTAGTACTGATACTAAGAGAGACCAATGTTACTATCAGTATTGATACTAAGGGAGGCTATTGTTACTATCAGTACTGATACTAAGTGAGACCAATGTTACTTTCAGTATTGATACTAAGTGAGACCAATGTTACTATCAGTACAGATACTAAGGGGGACAAATGTTACTATCAGTACTGATACTAAGAGAGACCAATGTTACTATCAGTATTGATACTAGGGAGACCATTGTTACTATCAGTACTGATACTAAGTGAGACCAATGTTACTTTCAGTATTGATACTAGGGAAACCATTGTTACTATCAGTACAGATACTAAGGGAAGACCAATGTTACTATCAGTACAGATACTAAGGGGGACCAATGTTACTATCAGTACAGATACTAAGGGGGACCAATGTTACTATCAGTACTGATACTAAGGGGGACCAATGTTCCTATCAGTACTGATACTAAGGGAGATCAATGTTACTATCAGTACTGATATTAAGGGAGATCAATGTTACTATCAGTACTGGTACTAAGGGAGAATATTGTTACTATCAGTACTGATTCTAAGGGAGACCGGGGTTACTATCAGAACTGATTCTAAGGGAGACCAATGTTACTATCAGTACTGATTATAAGGGAGACCGGGGTTACTATCAGTACTGATTCTAAGGGAGACCGGGGTTACTATCAGAACTGATTCTCCTAAGGGAGACCGGGGTTACTATCAGAACTGATTCTAAGGGAGACCGGGGTTACTATCAGTACTGATTCTAAGGGAGACCGGGGTTACTATCAGAACTGATTCTAAGGGAGACCGGGGTTACTATCAGTACTGATTCTATCAGTATTGACCTTGATGGACCAATATTTCCACTAGGACTGGTTGTGTACGTACTGTCTTGACTGGTTTTGGTGCTATTAGATGATTCCGTCCCTTCACCGACAGATGTGTAGGCGTACACTGTGAACGTGTAATTGGTATAGGCCCTCAGTCCAGTGATAGTCTCATTAAAATCCTTCTGGTCTCTGGTGAAGTTACCATTCTTGGTAATTTTACAAGACGACTTCATAAAAGTAAAAAGGAAAAGTCAGACAACATATGTAGCTGTAGATAGTTGTTATATAACAGTATATACATGTAATGTCTTGTAATCTGGTAACGGTAGATCAATTATCTATCGGTAAGTCAAATTAGCATCTATTGTTTCGGTAAGTATTCCGTCCCTTTACCGACAGATGTGTAGGCGTACACTGTGAACGTGTAATTGGTATAATTGATTTAAAATCCTTCTGGTCTCTGGTGAATCCAAATATCATCTATTGTTTCGATAAGTAAAAATATTCGTTGTTTCAGTAAATAAAATTATCATCCTTTGTGTTGGTAAGTAAAAATATCACCAGATGTTTCGATAAGTAAAAATATCACCCAATGTTTCGATAAGTAAAAATATCACCAGATGTTTCGATAAGTAAAAATATCACCCAATGTTTCGATAAGTAAATTATCACCCAATGTTTCGATAAGTAAAAATATCACCCAATGTTTCGATAAGTAAAAATGTCATCCATTGTTTCGGTAAGTAAATTATCATCTATTGTTTCGGTAAGTAATATTACCAACAATTGTTATTTCATTGCAGATTAGATCTTTTAATGTTGTTTTTGTAAAGTTGTAGTTAATAGTGTAATGTTCCTTACTGTCATTGCTATTCTGCCGGCAGTCAACAGGAGTTGTATAAGTTGTACACATGTTCCATTAGGATAGGTGACGTGTACACTGTATTGTGTGATGTCACCATTCGGGTTTATAGGTTTGTTCCAGGTCAGTCTAACAGCTGTAGAGGACAACGTTAAGGCGACTAAATCTCCAACTGGACCAGGAGCTACAACAGTGGATACAATAAGACGTTGTCTTCATCATTAAATCGACGTCATGTTTCAATCTGTTAGATAACAAAAGCACAAGTTTTGAAAATAAATTCTGAAAGTTTTTGTGACTATCAAACGTCAAATGGATTAACGTTAAAATATCAAGTTCTGAAACAGACAGATGTGTTCAGAAGGATCAACTGAGGATCAAAGACAGAAACTCATTTTAATAGGTAATATGTGTTTTTTTAAACAATTTGGTCCGGCATTCCTACATATACATTCATTACGTCTTTCAAACAGCTATATGACAATCTGTCTCTGTTGGCTGTAGTACAGAGAGTCTGTCTCTGTTGTTTGGAATACAGACAATCTGCCTCTATTGTTTGGGGTACGAACAATCTGTCTCTGTTGGTTGGGATACAGACAGTCTGTCTCTGTTGTTTGGGGTACAGACAGTCTGTCTCTGTTTTGGGTACAGACAATCTGTCTCTGTTTTGGGTACAGACAATCTGTCTCTGTTGGTTGGGGTACAGACAGTCTGGGTACAGACAATCTATCTCTGTTGTTTGGGGTACAGACAATCTGTCTCTGTTGTTTGGGGTACAGACAATCTGTCTCTGTTGGTTGGGGTACAGACAATCTGTCTCTGTTTTGGGTACAGACAATCTGTCTCAGTTGGTTTGGGTACAATAATCTGTCTCTGTTGGGTGGGTACAGACAATATGTATCTGTTGCTTGGGGTACAGACAATCTGTCCTTGCTAGTCGGAGTACAGACAATCTGTCCTTGCTGGTCTGAGTACAGACAATCTGTCCTTGCTGGTCGGAGTACAGACAATCTGTCCTTTCTACTCGGAGTACAGACAATCTGTCTGTTGTTTTGGTACAGAAATCCGTCTCTGTTGGCTGGGGTACAGACAATATGTCTCTATTTGTTGGAGTACAGATAATCTGTCTGTATTGGTTGGAGTACAGAGACAATCTGTCTCTGTTTAATGACATGGGAAATAAAACTAATTTATTGCCAAGTTTCTGATTTAAGTGTTACTATTTTCTTATTAAACGAGCTTAGTTTGAAATGTCTAAATATCAACCTATATCGTAAAATATTAAACATATTGTAAGAGTAAACAGTAACTTTTATAATTGTTTGAGTACCCCATATCAACTACTCGTGGCTTTAAGAATTGTCCATTTAAGTACAGTGCTAAGCCCCGCCTTCTTTACGAAGTAAAACTGTTAATCAGAACAGGGGATCCATTGACCTATCGCCGAGAACTCATTATCAGCGGGACATATTCATAAAAAACAACATTTTGCAGGAAAAACCTTAAAGTGAAGTAAGGGAAAAACACGTACCACTAACCTGTAAAATGTGTCTAGTCAAGGATCCTACTGACATGTAAAATATGTCTGGTCAAGGATCCCACTAACATGTAAAATGTGTCTAGTCAAGGATCCTACTGATATGTAAAATATATCTGGTCAAGGATCCCACTAACATGTAAAATATGTCTGATCAAGGATCCCACTAACATGTAAAATGTGTCTGATCAAGGATCCTACTGACATGTAAATTATATCTGGTCAAGGATCCCACTAACCTGTATAATATGTCTGGTCAAGGATCTCACTAACCTGTATAATATGTCTGGTCAAGGATCCCACTAACATGTAAAATATGTCTGGTCAAGGATCCCACTAACCTGTATAATATGTCTGGTCAAGGATCCCACTAACCTGTATAATATGTCTGGTCAAGGATCCCACTAACATGTGAAATATGTCTGGTCAAGGATCCCACTAACATGTAAAATATGTCTGGTCAAGGATCCCACTAACCTGTATAATATGTCTGGTCAAGGATCCCACTTACATGTAAATTATGTCTGGTCAAGGATCCCACTAAGGATCTCACTAACCTGTAAAAATATGTCTGGTCAAGGATCCCACTAACATGTAAAATATGTCTGGTCAAGGATCCCACTAACATGTAAATTATGTCTGGTCAAGGATCCCACTGACATGTAAAATATGTCTGGTCAAGGATCCCACTAACCTGTAAATATGTCTGGTCAAGGATCCCACTAACATGTAATGTAAAATATGTCTGGTCAAGGATCCCACTAACATGTAAAATATGTCTGGTCAAGGATCCCACTAACATGTAAAATATGTCTGGTAAAGGATCCCACTAACCTGTACTGGTCCAGGATTTTACTAACCAACACAGTGTGTTTGGTCAAACGTTTCAATAACATGTACAAGGTGTCCGTTTCTCTAACACTTACCATGTGTATGGTCAAGCATTTCTTTGACACAAGCAAAGTGTCTCATCAGAGGTTTTACGAACACATACTATGTATCTGGTCGAGGGTCCCGCTAACACTTGTGAAGTATGTGATACAATATTTCATTAACATGTGTAATATGTCCGGTCAAGCGTTTCTAAATGTTTAACTGACACAACTTCATATTGGTGTATACTTTCAGTATCCCGTTTACAGTCATTATCCGAGATTAATTCTGAAAATATTTCTGTGGAGATGTTAATCTAAGAGTTATTCTAGTTAACCTAGATAGTAACCAATGGATTATATAATGTGCTTCAACAAACACAGAAAATTTATATACAACAATATCGACACAGAGACAAGGAGGAGGCATGCCAACCGCTGTAACAGAAGGTTAACGTAGATGGAACAGTCCTTAAGTTGGGATTTTGGACCTACCGTTAATGATGAGTCACAGAAAGTCGAGACAAGTGTAGGATTCATTCATTAGTTGGTATTCACTGATTTTAGGTACATGGTTATGTTTCCATCATAAGGGTGCTCACAACTCACAGCCGGGATAAACTAGCTTTACTTACCTGTTTCGTTTGTACGGAGACCACGGAACAATGCAGCAGAACTGTTAAGTTTATGGAAGACGGCGATGACGGTGACGTCACAGGTGGTATCAGGATCGAGGCCGTCTATCTTTACGATGTGATTGGTTACGGTGACGTTGACATTCAAGGAGTTCGTGTTATCGAGACTGGAGCATTGCGAGGTAGCGATGTATCTATCCACGAGTCCTTCGGAGGTTAGAGTGACATTTATTGAGTTACTAGTGGTGGAGTGTCCACTCATTGTAGGAACAGACGGTACTGTAATGTAAAAATACTAATCAAAGATCTCAAATTCACCAAATTTTGAATCAAGTTCAACTTAAATCAATACACATTAAAACGTAATCCTAATATATTCTGGTAGTTCTGTCATAGTAATCTAGTTAATTGATTGACGTACACACATAATTCTGGTAGTTCTGTCATAGTAATCTAGTTAATTGATTGACGTACATACATAATTCTGGTAGTTCTGTCATAGTAATCTAGTTAAATGATCGATGTACATACATAATTCTGGTAGTTCTGTCATAGTAATCTAGTTAATTGATTGACGTACACACATAATTCTGGTAGTTCTGTCATAGTAATCTAGTTAATTGATTGACGTACATACATAATTCTGGTAGTTCTGTCATAGTAATCTAGTTAATTGATTGACGTACACACATAATTCTGGTAGTTTTGTCATAGTAATCTAGTTAATTGATTGATGTACATACATAATTCTGGTAGTTCTGTCATAGTAATCTAGTTAAATGATCGATGTACATACATAATTCTGGTAGTTCTGTCATAGTAATCTAGTTAATTGATTGACGTACATACATAATTCTGGTAGTTCTGTCATAGTAATCTAGTTAAATGATCGATGTACATACATAATTCTGGTAGTTCTGTCATAGTAATCTAGTTAATTGATTGATGTACATACATAATTCTGGTAGTTCTGTCATAGTAATCTAGTTAAATGATTGATGTACATACATAATTCTGGTAGTTCTGTCATAGTTAATGATTGACGTACACACATAATTCTGGTAGTTCTGTCATAGTAATCTAGTTAATTGATTGACGTACACACAATTCTGGTAGTTCTGTCATAGTAATCTAGTTAAATGATCGACGTACATACATAATTCTGGTAGTTCTGTCATAGTAATCTAGTTAAATGATTGACGTACAAACATAATTCTGGTAGTTCTGTCATAGTAATCTAGTTAATTGATTGGCGTACAAACATAATTCTGGTAGTTCTGTCATAGTAATCTAGTTAAATGATTGACGTACATACATAATTCTGGTAGTTCTGTCATAGTAATCTAGTTAATTGATTGGCGTACAAACATAATTCTGGTAGTTCTGTCATAGTAATCTAGTTAAATGATTGACGTACAAACATAATTCTGGTAGTTCTGTCATAGTAATCTAGTTAATTGATTGACGTACATACATAATTCTGGTAGTTCTGCCATAGTAATCTAGTTAAAATGATCGATGTACATACATAATTCTGGAAGTTCTGTCATAGTAATCTAGTTAAATATGTACATACATAATTCTGGTAGTTAAATGATTGATGTACATACATAATTCTGGTAGTTCTGTCATAGTAATCTAGTTAAATGATCGATGTACATACATAATTCTGGTAAATTATGTCATAGTAATCTAGTTAAATGATCGATGTACATACATAATTCTGGTAGTTCTGTCATAGTAATCTAGTTAAATGATCGATGTACATACATAATTCTGGTAGTTCTGTCATAGTAATCTAGTTAAATGATTGATGTACATACATAATTCTGGTAAATTATGTCATAGTAATCTAGTTAAATGATTGATGTACATACATAATTCTTGTAGTTCTGTCATAGTAATCTAGTTAAATGATCGATGTACATACATAATTCTGGTAATTCATAGTAATCTAGTTAATAATTCTAGTCTGTAAAATGATTGATGTACATACATAATTCTGGTAGTTCTGTCATAGTAATCTAGTTAAATGATTGATGTACATACATAATTCTGGTAATTGATGTCATAGTAATCTAGTTAAATGATTGATGTACATACATAATTCTGGTAGTTCTGTCATAGTAATCTAGTAATGTACACACATAGTAGTTCTGTCATAGTAATCTAGTTAAATGATTGATGTACATACATAATTCTGGTAGTTCTGTCATAGTAATCTAGTTTATTGATTGATGTACATACATAATTCTGGTAGTTCTGTCATAGTAATCTAGTTAAATGATTGATGTACATACATAATTCTGGTAGTTCTGTCATAGTAATCTAGTTAAAATTGATTGTAATCTAGTTAATTGATGTACATACATAATTCTGGTAGTAATCTGTTCATGTACATACATAATTCTGGTAGTTCTGTCATAGTAATCTAGATGATGTACATACATAATTCTGGTAGTTCTGTCATAGTAATCTTGTTAAATGATTGATGTACATACATAATTCTGGTAGTTCTGTCATAGTAATCTAGTTAAATGATTGATGTACATACATAATTCTGGTTGTCATAGTAATCTAGTTAAATGATTGATGTACTAGTTAAATGATTGATGTACATAATTCTGGTAGTTCTGTCATAGTAATCTAGTTAAAATGATCGATGTACATACATAATTCTGGTAGTTCTGTCATAGTAATCTAGTTAAAATGATTGATGTACATACATAATTCTGGTAGTTCTGTCATAGTAATCTAGTTAAATGATTGATGTACATACATAATTCTGGTATTTTATGTCATAGTAATCTAGTTAAAATGTTTGATGTACATACATAATTCTGGTAGTTCTGTCATAGTAATCTAGTTAAATGATTGATGTACATACATAATTCTGGTAGTTCTGTCATAGTATCTAGTTCTGAGTACATACATAATTTGAGTTAAAATGACGTGTACATACATAATTCTGGTAGTTCTGTCATAGTAATCTAGTTAAATGATTGATGTACATACATAATTCTGGTAGTTCTGTCATAGTAATCTAGTTAATTGATTGAGTACATACATAATTCTGGTAGTTCTGTCATAGTAATCTAGTTAAATGATAAATAATTAACATGATTGATGTATCATACATAATACTGGTAAATGTCATAGTAATCTAGTTAAATGATCGATGTACATACATAATTCTGGAAGTTCTGTCATAGTAATCTAGTTAAATGATTGACGTACATACATAATTCTTCTATGATCCATTGCCAAAACAAAAGGACATCTACATCCATTTAATGTTTACATATATAATAGATACAGTTAAAACGGGTATCTGATAATTAAGACTTGTCACGTACGGCACTTTTTTAACAAATTATTTACGAGTGTATACAACTATTCAGTCTAAATCTGATAGATCTACCTAACCTAGAGATACATGACTTATCAGGAACTATCGTTACCCATTACATGTACTCATAAATATAGAGAACAATAAATAAACCCTATCCCACACTTACTCATAACTCATTTCTAAATTGATATAAACCAGTGTAGAATTGTACATCTGAGCGCACAGATGTAAGATATCATATTTCGTCCAGCTTTCCCTATCGTGCACACATCGTGCGAACGTCACACATCGTGTAACATTGTGTGGTTCCACAACTGCATTTATAGATGCCGATATAGGTAACACGCGGATAAAAAATATTGTCGTTTTGTAAGTATAGATATATTATCTTTGAAGAGGTAAACTGGTCAGACACAACAGTAACCTAGCGTTGAACACTTACAGACCTTGGTACGGTTATACAACAGAGCTTGATGTATCTGTACGTATGTATACTACTAATTTCACTTATTGGTTTGATGTTACTTACCAGTGTACGCTGTTACATCTGGATACGGTGTACTGGTCAGACCGTGAAACACGGAGACCACCGTGAAGTTATAACTGTGTCCCGGTGTTAGTCTATCTACTGTGTAGGACGTGGCATTGTGTTTTGTACTTCGTGTCTCGTTACGGCCGTCCTCGTGAGTAACCGTCACATTGTAGTATTCTACTGATCCTGTTGACGGTACCGTGATGTCCAGGGTGATGGATGTATTTGTTTGGCTTGATATTGCTACATTAGCAGGAACTCCTGGTACTGAGATCAGAATTTAGATATTGAGAACACTAGAATTAATTTATACAGTTATATAACAGAGGATGTAGTTTGGTTATGCTACTACTCTATCGGGAGGATTTGGAACTGAAATTTAAACGTTGTTTAATCATTTAGTGATTTTTTCTCAGAAACCCTCTGAAACATGATGTGTGTATTGGGGTATATAAGATAATTATAGAACAACGTTAAGTACATGTGTATATTCTTGACTGTTCCAATATTCAAAGGAATTAAAACGTGGCCTGCAGGTTACGGCAAACCTCGGGGACTTAAAGTTCACCAGCAGTGTCTACCATCTGCTATCTCAAAGTTTGTTCAAGAGACACACAAATGAATAACACCATTTTGAAAATTAGGCCTAGTTCCAATTGATTTAGAATTTCGTAGAAGTATATAGAAGGGTGTCCCCTGTACTCGAATACAATTATCTAAAGGATTAAAATACACATCGAGGGTCAAAGTTCAAATGTTAGATTGAAGGAAAAATCAAAGAACTCCATCATTTAATACAAAATCTACAACATGTGATAGGCATCTCCACATCGACATGCCCCTATACGTAACAGTTTGTACTGGTAAGAGATCTTCTGAGAGAAATCAGAAGCTGTTTCTACACGTGTTTTCTGATCCTGCTGGAGTTCGATAACTTCTCTAATTTATCTTGTTCGGTTTGTTACAAAGGATAAGCACTAAAATGGCCTCGTTATCGCCATTGTTAGAAGTTTGACTTAGTGAGGGTTTGTGGTTACTGCATAGTGTACATACTAGGCTGACCATAGTTCCGACATTGGGAATCTGGGAATTTCCTTAAACTTTCCGTAGATACTCTCACTATTCTATTCTGCCATTTGCAGATTTAACAACACAACTAACTTTTGTTTCAAGCTTTCAGGCATTGCTTTTCGAACATGAAAGCTGTTTCTCACAGAAAAAAGACATTTCCGTTTCAACCCATTGCTTGTATAACATTAGGCAATGAAAGGCTTGCTTAGACAAGGCGAGTTATACTCTATTAGTCTTTGCGACATTCTAAACATTAGATTGTTAGAAATACGAACACGTTTAAGAACGATATCTGCTTGACATCTAT